CCTGGCATCTTTTGGATGGTGCTTGCTCAACGCTCAACACCGTGCTGATCTTCTGATGTGCTTTGTGCATCCAGTAGTATACCGCCACATCGTCGGCGCGGGGTCGTCACCCCTAACGCCAGCCGACGGTGCGAGCGAAATATTAGCAGGGCTCATTGCGCAGGCAGATCAACAACCAGATGTCGACACAGCGGGGCACCTCCTGTACAGTGGAGCGGACGTCGAAGGAGTTTGGGAGCGTGAGCGGGTTGCCTCCGTTTCCTGCACCCCTCTTATCGCGGATCCGATCCATTTGCATGGCTCGGCGCGACCCGCGATGGGGCGCATAGCTGAGACGGGTGCAGGTCAGCTCCGGTGGTGCCCAGTCTCTGGACGCCCAGGCGTACCAGGACAACCAATATTGCAGCTCCAGAGAGAGCAAGAGAACGGATGATAGCTATGGGCACGACCTGGATGGTTGCCCACCCCACGTGTCTCCAAGGACGGGGTGAACGCCCAGTGGCAGCAGTCATATTGCACCACATGCGAGCAGCGCAGGTTGGATCAGAACCCGTCGGGGCAAGATCTCATCATGAATTGGTCGTGTGTAAGTATTTCTGTATGCATGTGTGTATGCATGAATGCATGTATGTATGTAGGCATGTCTGTATGTATTTATGTATGAATGTATGTATGCATGTATGCATGCATGCATGCATGTATGTATGTATGTAGATATGCATGTATGTATGTATATATGCATGCATGCATGCATGCATGCATGCATGCATGCATGCATGCATGTATGTATGTATGTATGTATGTATGTATGTATGTATGTGTGTATGTGTGTATGTGTGTATGTGTTTATGCATGCATGCATGTATGCATGCATGCATGTATGTATGTATGCGTGTACGTATGTATGTAGGTATGTAGGTATGTAGATATGTAGGTATGTAGGTATGTAGGTATGTAGGTATGTAGGTATGCAGGTATGCAGGTATGCAGGTATGTAGGTATGTAGGTATGTAGGTATGTAGGTATGTAGGTACGTAGGTATGTAGGTATGTAGATATGTATGTATGTATGTATGTATGTATGTATGTATGTATGTATGTATGTATGTATGTACGTACGTATGTATGTATGTATGTATGTATGTATGTATGTATGTATGTGTAAACACGTAGCCTCCCGCATATGCGGATAAGAATGAGGGGGCGGTGGGGGCGTCGGCAGTTTGAGAGACTCTGGAGAAGCCCGCCGGACGCGCCAAAGTTTCACAAATTATACAACGAGCCCGCCGCAGGTGCCGACTTGGTCGCGGGTGTTTCGCGGGTGGGTCGCAAATGGGTCGCGGGTGGGTGGTCGCTGTTGGGTCGCGGGTGGGTCGCGGGTGTAGAGGGCAGAAAATCCACCCCACAAGAATCACCCCGACAAGCGAAGCCGTTTAGTAAACGTGCAAAAGGAATGAATCGAACAGTGCAGGGCTGTTTAGTCAACGCCCAAGGACGTTTTAGTAAACTTCGATTGTCAGGTCCGGTGGTTTTTTCCTCATTGAGGGTGACTCGCGGGGTGGGTCGCGGGTGGGTCGCGTGGTGGGTCGCGGGTGGGTCACGGATGGGTCGTGGATGGGTCGCGGGGTGGGTCGCGGTTGGATCGCGGGGTGGGTCGCGGGTGGGTCGCGGGTGGGTCGCGGGGTGGGTCGCGAGTGGGTCGCGGGTTGGGTCGCGGGTGGGTCGCGGGGTGGGTCGCGGGGTGGGTCGCGGGTAGGTCGCGGGTGGGACGATTATAACAAACAACACCACCAACAACAGCAACAACAACAACACCACCACCAACAACAACAACAACAGCTTCAATCACAACAACAACAACAACAATACGAACAGCAACACCAACACCAACAATACTAGCACAACAAGAACAACAACACCACCACCACCAACAACAAGAGCAATAATAATAAGCACATTAACAACACCACCACCAACAACAACATCAATAACAGCACCAACACCAACAACAATAGCAATATCAATCTCAACAACGACGACGCAACAAACATCATTTTCAACACGAATCCGCTGATCCACCAAAACGTGTGTATTGGCTGGGGAGGCTGGGACCCGAGAGCCTCAGGTGGACCCAAGATGGCTCCCAGGGACGGATGCGTATCTGACCCCACGTGGGGAGGAGGACCCGAGGGGAACCGGCGCGCCGGAGAAGGACTGGCGTGGGAGAGGAGGACCCCCAGAAACGATGCGAATCTGACCCCACCCCCCCCGCCGGGGAAGGGTCAAAGGGCAGGGGCTTCCCTTTGACGTAATGAGGACGTGGATTGAATTCCCTCAAGCTGCGAACCCGTTCCCCGAACGAGGAAAGGTGCTCTCTCTCTCTCTCTCTCCCACGACGGGCGGGGAGGATGGGAAGGAGGGGGCGAAACGAGGCTCCCCATTGAAGGGACCAGACAGACCCCATACACACATGTATGTATGTATGTATGTACGTACGTACGTACGTACGTACGTACGTATGTACGTATGTACGTATGTACGTATGTACGTATGTACGTCTGTCTGTCTGTCTGTCTGTCTGTCTGTCTGTATGTATGTATGTATGTATGTCTGCATGTAGGTATATATGTATGCATATATAGATATAATTTATATGTATGTTTGTGTGTATATATAAAAATATGAATGTACATATGTGTACATATGAATGTATATATATATATATATATATATATACAAGACTGCAGTGGCGCTTCGCGGCATGCACCTTGGTCCTTGAAGATTGCTACGCAGGTGGAAAAGGCAGGAAGGTCAAGCGGACACTTTAACGATAACTCCTTGCTGCCTTTTCTGGCATCGCCATTCTGATAATGTTGTTCGTTATCCTGGCTCCATGCTTATTTTTCCTCATTCTCGCCATACCCTGGGCATTCTCCCCATCCTCCTCAGCTCTTTTTGCGGAGGGTCCTCCTTGGAGAGCCTTTGGGGGCCTCACCAAAGTTCTCAAGCTTTCCTAAGCCTTCTGGAGGCCTCCTGGGCGTGTTCTGGGGGCCTCTGGGGCTTCCTAAGGGCAACATGCATTTAACCGCGGTCTCCCTGAACGCCCCGGTCACGATTTGGAATGCTTCGGAGGGTGTTTTGGGGCCATCTTGGGCCGCCATGGGGCTCTCTTAGGGCCATTTTGGACCCCTGGTGCGCCGTTTTGGGGCTCTCTTGGACTGCGGGCGGTTTTGGAGCCTTCCAGGCGACTTCGGACGCCCAGAAGACCACTGTCTTGGAGCGTCGGGAAGCCGAAAAGATGAGAACCCCAAATTCACCAAAAATCTACATTAAATCAATTATTTGTCCCTCTTGGGGCCTTCTTGGGGGTGCTCTTGGAGGCCTCTTGGTACGTTTTGGAGCGATCTTTCGGGGTATGACGGCTTCTTGGAGCGCTCTTGTGCTGTCCTCGGGTTCTCCAGGACGTCTCCGATGACCCCCCTGATCGCTCTAGGAGTGCTGCGAAGGCTTGGCAAAACGCCCTGCGAGGCCCGGGGGGCTGCTTCGAGGCCCGTCCGAAGGGCCCCAAAGCCCCAGATCCCGGGAGTCCGTTTTTTTTTTTTTTTTAGGGGGGGGGGGACGAGTTTTCCCCCAGCCCGGGCTTATAAACATACAGGAAGAGGAATAGATATGTGTATAGATCTGTGTACGTATGTATATATATATGTATATATATATATAGATATACATATATATGTATACACTTAGCACCCCGCAGATGCGGATAAGAGTGAGGGTGCGGTGGGGCGTTGGCAGTTTGCGAGACTCTGGAGGAGCCCGCCGGACGCGCCAACGTTTCACAAATTGTACAACGAGCCCGCCGCAGGCGCCGACTTTTTCGTTAAACCAATGTGGGTAGGTCGCGGGTGGGTCGCGGGTGGGTTGCAAATGGGTCGCGGGTGGGTGATCGCTGTTGGGCGCGGGTGGGTCGCGGGTGTAGAGGGCAGAAAATCCACCCCATAAGAATCACCCCGACAAGCGAAGCCGTTTAGTAAACGTGCAAGAGGAATGAATCGAACAGTGCAGGGCTGTTTGGTCAACGCCCAGGGACGTTTTAGTAAACGTCAACTGTCAGATCCGGTGGTTTTTTCCTTCATTGAGGGTGGCTTGCGGGGTGGGTCGCGGGTGGGTCGCGGGGTGGGTCGTGGGTGGGTCGCGGATGGGTCGCGGGTTGGGTCGTGGGGTGGGTCGCGGGTGGATCGCGGGGTGGGTCGCGGGTGGGTCGCGGGTGGGTCGCGGGTGGGTCGCGGGGTGGGTCGCGAGTGGGTCGCGGGTTGGGTCGCGGGTGGGTCGCGGGGTGTGTCGCGGGGTGGGTTGCGGGTGGGTCGCGGGTGGGACGACGACAACAAGCAACACCACCACCACCAACAACAACAACACTACCACCACCACCACCAACAACAACAACACCAACAACAACACCAACGACAATCACACCAACACCAACAACAATAACGACAACACCGACAACAGCAACAATAACAATACCACTATCATCAACAACACCAACAACACCAACACCAACAACAATAACAATATCAACAACAACAACGACGACGCAACAAACATCATTTTCACCACGAATCCGCTGATCCAACACAACGTGTGTGCTGGCTGGGGAGGCTGGGACCCGAGAGCCTCAAGTGGACCCAAGATAGCCCTAGATGGTTCCACGGCGGCCCCAGATGATCCACGAAGGCCCCAAGAGGCCCCGAAAAACCTCCGACACGGCCGAGTCGGCCGAGGACAACCCAAGATGGCTATACGGCGGCTCAACAAACTCCCAATCCCCACAGAAGGCTTCAAAACGGCCTCAAGAGATTTCCAAGAGGGGCCCACTCGCATCACTGTATTATCCGTGAGGTCCTCTTAAAGTTTATGCTTAGTGTCGTTCAGGATCGCGGTTCTGCCGAGCCTCCAGGACCCGCTTCCTTCACAATTGCTGGCTTGGCCCATCCGAAGGAGTACTGGATGACCGGCGGGATGGCCACCTGGTCGTGCGACGAGGCCAAAAAGTACGGCTGCGTCTGGGGCAGCGGTGCCCGCGTGGACAGACGAGCTTGTCTTCTAGAGGGGAGAAGGAGCAACAGGAGAGGAGGAGGAGGAGGAGGAGGAGGAGGAGGAGGAGGAGGAGGAGGAGGAGGAGGAGGAGG